AGGTTCTTCCCTTTCATCACTTTAAATATATCATGCCACTCCCTTCTGACTTGTAGAGTTTCTGCTGAGAAATCAGCCGTTAACCTTATGGGAGTTCCCTTGTATGTTATTTGTCGTTTTTTCCTTGTTGCTTTTAATAATTTTTCTTTGTCTTTAATTTTTGTCAATTTGATTACTATGTGTCTCGGCATGTTTCTCCTTGGGTTTATCCTGCCTGGGACTCTCTGCACTTCCTGGACTTGGGTAGCTATTTCCTTTCCCATGTTAGGGAAGTTTTCAACTATAATCTCTTCAAATATTTTCTCGGATCCTTTCTCTCTCTTCTCCTTCTGGGACCCCTATAATGCGAATGTTGTTGCGTTTAGTGTTGTCCCAGAGGTCTCTTAGGCTGTCTTCATTTCTTTTCATTCTTTTTTCTGTATTCTATTCCACAGCAGTGAATTCCACCATTTCGTCTTCCAGCTCACTTATCTGTTCTTCTGCTATTGATTCCTTCTAGTGTATTTTGCATTTAAGTTATTGTATTGTTCATCTCCGTTTGTTAGTTCTTTAATTTTTCTAGGTCTTTGTTAAACATTTCTTGCATCTTCTCAATCTTTGCCTCCTTTCTTTTTCCGAGGTCCTGGATCATCTTCACTATCATATTCTGAATTCTTTTTCTGGAAGGTTGCCTATCTCCACTTCATTTAGTTGTTTTTCTGGGGTTTTATCTCGTTCCTTCATCTGGTACAGAGTCCTCTGCCTTTTCATTTTTTTAAATTTATTATTATCATTATTTTAAATTTATTTTTGGCTGCATTGGGTGTTTGTTGCTGTGTGCGGGCTTTCTCTAGTTGCGGCAAGTGGGGGCTACTCTTTGTTGCGGTGCACGGGCTTCTCACTGCAGTGGCTTCTCTTGTTGCGGAGCACGGGCTCTAGGTGTGCGGACTCAGTAGTTGCAGCTTGCAGGCTCTAGCCTGCAGGCTAAGCAGTTTTGGCGCACGGGCTTAGCTGCTCCACGGCATGTGGGATCTTTCTGGACCAGGGCTCGAACCCATGTCCCCTGCATTAGCAGGTGGATTCTTTTGTTTGTTTGTTTGTTTTTTGTTTGTTTGTTTTTTGTGGTACGTGGTCCTCTCACTGTCTTGGACTCTCCCGTTGCGGAGCACAGGCTCCGGATGCACAGGCTCAGTGGCCATGGCTCATGGGCCCAGCCGCTCCGCGGCACGTGGGATCCTCCTGGACCGGGGCGCGAACCCGTGTACCCTGCATCAGCAGGTGGACTCTCAACCACTGCGCCACCAGGGGACCCCAGCAGGTGGATTCTTAACCACTGCGCCACCAGGGAAGTCCTGCCTTTTCATTTTGTCTATCTTTCTGTGAATGTGGTTTTCCTTCCACAGGCTGCAGAATTGTAGTTCTTCTTGCTTCTACTGTCCGCCCTCTGGTGGATGAGGCTATCTAAGAGGCTTGTGCAAGCTTCCTGATGAGAGGGACTGATGGTGGGTAGAGCTGGGTGTTGCTCTGGTGGGCAGAGCTCAGTAAAACTTTAATCCGCTTGTCTGCTGATGGGTGGGGCTGGGTTCCCTCCCTGTTGGTTGTTTGGCCTGAGGCAACCCAGCACTGGAGCCTACCTGGCTCTTTGGTGGGGCTAATGGTGGACTCTGGGAGGGCTCACGCCAAGGAATACTTCCCAGAACTTCTGCTGCCAGTGTCCTTGTCCCCACGGTGAGCCACAGCCACCCCCCACCTCTGTAGGAGACCCTGCAACACTAGCAGGTAGGTCTGGCTCAGTCTCCCCCGGGGTCACTGCTCCTTCCCCTGGGTCCCGATGCACACACTACTTTGTGTATGCCCTCCAAGAGGGGAGTCTCTGTTTCCCCCAGTCTTGTCAAAGTCCTGCAATCAAATCCCACTAGACTTCAAAGTCTGATTCTCTGGGAATTCCTCCTCTCATTGCCGGACCCCCAGGTTGGGAAGCTCAGAACCTTCACTCCAGTGGGTGGACTTCTGTGGTATAAGTGTCCTCCAGTTTGTGAGTAACCCACCCAGCAGTTATGGGATTTGATTTTATTGTGATTGCGCCCCTCCTACCGCCTCATTGTGGCTTCTCCTTTGTCTTTGGATGTGGGGTATATTTTTTGGTGAGTTCCAGTGTCCTCCTGTCGATGATTGTTCAGCAGTTAGTTGTGATTCCAGGGTTCTCGCAGAGGGAGTGAGAGCACGTCCTTCTACTCCGCCATCTTGAACCAAACTCGGGTCTTTTTTTTTTTTTTTAACTTAAGTGTATTTATGAACCTAAAGCAAAAGCCCGTATCTCTTGCCATAAATAGAAGATCCTTCTTAAAAAGAAACCCAGTGAAAACAGAAGGTTGTTGTTACAGATACCGTTGCCTGACAGGGCTCTGAGCGAGCCTGAGGCCTCATTGTTAAACTGGGAGATTAGAGGGGGTTAGGTGGATGTTAAGGACCTAAAACTTTCTTCTTGACTGAATCAGAATGGTTAAACTAGAATGGAAGAGGGTAGATGTCAGAGAGGCCCTTGGTCTATTTCTTCCACAACTATTTATAGGAGCCTAATGTGCTCTTCACCTCTTGGGCCTTGAGACAGATGAAGCCCCAATTCTTTCCAAGTTTAAGGTTGTGGATAAAAGTGTATAGGAATGAAGTAACATACGAAGCACCTTGCAGTTCCTGGATCATGGTAAACACTTAGTACTTTAATGTTGCTCTCATAGTTGTTATTATTATAGTTATTATTACTTTATTATCCCAGAGCAGGGACTGGGTCCTCTGGGAAAGGTGGGGGTTGGGTTAGTCTATGAACATCTGTCCTACAGCCATGATGGCCTGGACAGGCACATGGAACTTGATTTCCATCAGAGAGCAGAGGTAGTGGTGTTAAGAGAGTAAAGCCCTTAATGCTTTGGCCAGGCAGATGAGGAATGTTACTGTGTCAGACAGTTAGGTCAGGAGTGAACATGCCTGGGTAAGTTTAAGGTCTCTGTTCAGATATGAAGGTCTGGCGTTATTCATGTCAGTATTCAGTGGTGTTCTAGGCACTGTGCTGGGCTCGTCGGGAATACAGTGCTGCTACCTTCAGGAGGGTTGTGATCTCATGGGAGTGAGAAGCCACAGGACAAGCAACTATGACACAGAGTAGAACGAGGAGAATTTCTTTCTCTGTTGGTTGCAAATGATAGATATCCAGCTTGTATCAGCATAAGTAAGAAAGAAAATTTATTGGTTCCCATATCTGCTGAGTCCAGGAATAAAAGGCTTCAGGAATGGCTGGATCCAGGTGTTCAAACGATGTTGTCAGAAATCTCCACCTTGTGGCTCTGCTTTTCTCTATGTTGGCTTTCTTCTCAGGCAGTCTCCCCATTTGTGTTGCCAAATACCACCAGCTTAGTAGTCTTAGCTAAAAAGGAGGTCTCTTCCTCAGTTATTCCAACATAAAGTAACAGAATTGAGTCTAATGGTCCAAACTGGGGTCATGTGAACCCCCCTTCCCAGAGCTAGGGATGGTAGCCTGGCCACTCACACCAACTAAGACTGGGGGAGGGGTTCACCCAAGGAAACATCCAAGCAAGGGGAGAGGGTGCTGGGAAGCAGGCAACACCCTGCCCAACACAGAGCCCCCAGAAAGGCAGAGGCTCTCAGAGGGGGGCAGGGCTCATGCCAGCCAGGGAGTCAGGACAGCTTCACGAAGGAGGTGGCCTTTGGCCAGTTGGGGCTCCAGGGATAGGGCTGGGGTGCTCCTTCAGCAGGTTCTGGCTCTGTATATGGGCAGAAGGAAGGAGGAAACAGGTATTTCCTGAGAAGCCATCATGTGCCAGGCTCTTTGACAACTATCTTGGTTAACGTCACAAGAACCCTGTCTGCTCACGCAGGTGGGAAACAGTCTCAGAGAGGTTAGCCATTCCTGGCTGACCCACAGCTAGCACCCAGCACTCCTGGAGCCACCCTCACCCTGCTCCAGTCCATCTCCACTGAGCAGCTGGGGCGCTCTTTTCAGACCACAGAGTTGACAGCATCTCGTCTCCACAGGTTCCAACTGTCCTAGGATTGAAACCCCACTCCTTAACATGGCCCACAAGGCCCTGCGCGGCCAGCTCTGTTCATGTCCCCAGGCTCCCTCCTGATCGGCCTCTGCTCCTGCTGTCCCCTCCCCCTCCCAGCACCACTCCTCTTCTGTCCTTTAACTCAACTCCTCCAAGGACTCCCAGACTTCGGGGGCCCCCCTTTGTAATAACAGTAGCTGACAGGTGCCAGGCATTAATCCACACTCTACATATGCTCACTCATTTCAGTCTTCACATCAACCCTGGGAGGTGGGGACCGTTATTATCCCCATTTTACAAGATGAGGAAACTGAGGCACTGAGAAAGTGAATTGCTCAAAGTCACACAGCTAGAAAGTGGCAGAGCCGAGATTCAAAGCCAGACATTTTGCTCCACAGTCCTCATTCTTAACCACTGCCCTCTACTGCTTCTGGGTACTCCAATCCTTCCTATCACATTTTGTAACCATTTGGTTGACCTCTGTCTCAGCACTCACAGCTAGTAATAATGGTAGCTAACATATTGAGCACTTAGCCTGTGCCAGGCACTATACTTGGCACTTTTTACGTTTCACCTCATTTCACCCTCTCAGCAATCCTATAAAAACTAGGTATAGTTGTCCCCGTTTTGCACATGGAGAACCTGAGGAGTTAAGAGTTTAAGGAACTTGTCCACTAAGCTGGAAATTCTCAGAGGGAAGAAACCTTGTCCATTTTGCTCATCATTGAGTCCAGAGGGGCTAATTCAGTGCCTGGCATACAGTAGGCACTCAATAAATGCTTTGGGGTTGGTTGGATGGATGGATGATAAATGGCAAGAGGGAAGGGAGGGAGGGAGGGAGGGATAGAAAGAGGGCCTTCCTGTCCCCAGTGCCCGTGCTCTGGCCATGACTGGGAGATCCTGGGACGGGAGGCTGTTGTGGTATCTGAAGTGGCTGTCCCGGCTGTATCTGCAGGAGCCACGATGCACATAAAGAGGTACCTGCTCAAGTGCCTGCACCGGCTGCAGAAGGGCCCTGGCTACACGTACAAGGAGTTGCTGGTGTGGTACTGTGACAACACCAACACCCATGGCCCCAAACGCATCATCTGTGAGGGGCCCAAGAAGAAGGCCATGTGGTTCGTGCTCACCCTGCTCTTTACCTCCCTCGTCTGCTGGCAATGGGGTGTCTTCATCAGGACCTACCTGAGCTGGGAGGTCAGCGTCTCCCTCTCCATCGGCTTCAAGGCTATGGACTTTCCCGCCGTCACCATCTGCAACACCAGCCCCTTCCAGTAGGTGGTCCTTGGAGCGTGGCTGGTCTCAGCGGGGCTGCATTTCTTCTTTTTTTTCCTTCCTTCCAGCTTTCCTTCCTTCTTTCCCTTTTCCCCCTTTCTCTCTTTCTCTTTCCTTCTTTGTTTTCATCCCTTTGTAGCAAGGAAGATTCAAAATAACCTCCCAGGCTTAAAAAGAACCTCAGAAAATACCTGATAGTCCCTGCCTTCAGGCATGCCAGTGTCTATTTATTGATTCAATGTGTATTTATTGAGCACCTACTATTGCCAGCAACTTTTCTAGGCACCAGGAATACATCAGTAACTAAAACAACATGCCTGCCCTCGTCACAGCCTACCAGAGAAAACAGACATTCATCTTTTTTTTCCATAAATATTGAAATCATTGTAATTGTGAGGATTAAAAAATATATATAGCAACCATACATTGAGTGCTTACGAAACACCAGGCAGCGTGTTGAGTGTTCTTTGGGTAATTCATGTCATTCTAATCCACACAACCACCCTAGGGGTGGGCACTGCTATAGTAGCTTCAATTCATAGGTCAGGAAATGGAGGTTCAGAGAAGTGAGGGAACTTGCCCAGAGACACACAGTGAGCAACTGTAGAATTTGAATCCAGGCCTGATCTGATTCCAGAGCTGCCACTGTTTAACCACTTGATGGCAAGGCCTAGGAAGGGGACACCCAAGGACACCCAACCTAGTCAGGGTTGGGTTGAGGAAAGGCAGAGGGTCAGGCAGAGAAAAATGCCCCGAGGAATGAGTAGAAGTTAGCCAGGCAGAGTGAAGAGAATGCCCCAAGTGGAGGGCACAGCACATGCAAAGGTCCTGGGGTGAGACAGAGCTTGGTGCATTCAAGGACTTGACAAAAGGGCCAGCATGTCTGAGTCTCAGGGAACGTTCTTGTCCAAAAGAAGGTCCTGGAAGGGAATTCATATTTCCTGATTACATTTCCAGCTATCAGAAAGTCACTTCTTTCTAGTAATACGGCTGCTTTTCCTTGCTTCCGTGGTCTTTGAAGCTACTTGAGAAAACTCTTAATAATTATAATAATAACACACCCTGCTTTATAAGCATCACCTAATTGAATCCTCCAAAAGCCCTCTAGGGTAAATATTTCAATCCCCCCCCCATTTTGTAGATGAGAGAACAGAGCCTCAGAGAGGTTAACCTACCCAAAGTTACACAGATATTAAGTGGCATGATGGAATTCAAACCCAGAGCCCATGAATTCCAACACAGGACTTACCAAGCTCGACAGCAGCTGTGGACATCTAGGCTGTAATAGCAGCCCCTACCCCGCAGCCCGCCACCTACCCAATCCTCCTCTCCCTGTGTGCACAGAGGCGGCTGGTCTGATGGTCAGGGTACAGGTTGTATCAGCATCTGAGGCTGGTGTCAGCTCTGGCTGGTGTACACCTTCATAACAGGACTTGGGCCTGTGTCCAGGGTTTAGTGCTGTCTCCTGCAGAAGTCCTCCAGCCAGAGCTGATACACGCCACCCTGGAGACCACACTCTGGGGCAAGGTCTTGGATAAATTGGGTTTTGGAGTGACTGGGGTGCAGGGCCTGGGGCCCCCACCCAGGGCCTGGTGGGAACACCCACTGGTGTGGACACATTTCTGCCAGACTGACTGGTCACCATTTTCAATATGGGAGCCTCAGGGGCTGAGAGAAGATCCTGGATCCCAGCCCCACAGTCCCATCTGCCTTCTCCCTCCTGAAACCGGCTCCTGTTCCCCAAATTGCTGCTGGAGAATTAGGACCTCAGGATCACAGACCTGTCCCTCCCCCAACATTCTCTATCACTCCTGGCAGGGAGTAGTCAGAGCCCCGTGCCTACACAGCACATCTCCGGGAGCCCGCCGAACCCAGGTTCCTATCTCAGCTCTGCGGCCTCATCAGTGGGATGAGCTCAGGAAATCACAGCAACTCCCAGAGTTTCTTTATCCATATGTGGGGATGATTATAGAATTTTGGCCAAGATTAAATAAAAAGATGTAGGAAGCACCTAGCACTTGGCACATGGTAAGTGATCAATAACTGTAAGCTCTTAGGATTCTTTCCCACTAGCCTGTGAATTTCATATGGAAAAAGACCCATTCTGTCTTGTTTGCCATAATATCCTCTGTGCCTTGCACAGTACTTGGCACATAGTAGATGCTCACCAAATACTGGGTGAATGAATGAGTGAGCAGGTGGGTGGAAGGATGCATGGATGCATGGGTGGGTAGATAGAGAGGTGGGTGCTTGGGGTGGAGGAGCATTCTTCTCACATGTGGTGGCAGCCACACTGCAGTAGGAGGGGCTCCCAGACTACAGTCGTTCTGCTCTGAAGCTGCCTCTTGCCTCCCTGACTTGCTCTCCCTCCCACACAGGTACTCCAAAGTCAAGCATTTGCTAAAGGACCTGGATGAACTGATGGAGGCAGTCCTGGAGAGGATCCTGGGTCCTGAGCTCAGCCATGTCAACGCCACCAGGGCCCTGAACCTCACCCTCTGGAACCACATGCCCCTGGTCTTTATCAATGAGCAGAACCCCCATCACCCGGTGGTTCTTGACCTCTTTGAGGACAACTACAATGGCTCAGCAAGCAGCACCCCAGCACCAGGAAGGACCTGCAGTGCCCACGGATGCAAAGTAGCCATGAGACTAGTAAGTGGACCCTAGGCACAGGTCAGGCAATGGGCCCTAACTAGTGAGGCTGATGGGAGTTTCTTTCTTTAAATAATCTGGGTCTTGCTAGGGGAAAAACAGGCTGGAGCCAGTGCCTATTTTATATGTTTGCAGTGCTTTTTTAAAATTAGAAATAGTTGGTATGTTAGTCAAGACACTTTTAGATGCCAGTGACCCAGCTCAAACTAGCTTAAGCAAAGCAGGGAATTCCTTGGTTCACAAAATGAGAAGTCCAGGGGTGTATTAAGTTGAGATGTGGCTGGATCCAGGCATTCAGATGCTGTCATCAGGAGTCCATCTCTCTCCACCTAGGTTCATCTTTTCTCTCAGTTGACTTTGCTCTCTGGCTGGCTCTCTCCACATGGAAGACCCTGGCAATGCCAGACATACATCCCACAAGCTTAGCACTCTTCCCAGAAACAAAGCTCTTCTTTCCTAATTGCCTCAGTGAAAGTCCTGAGACTGATCATCAGGTCACATGCTCACCGCTAAACCAATCACTGTGAGCCGGAGGACAGGCTTTCATGATTGGCCAGTCCTGGGTCATGTACCCTGGAGCTGAGGATGATGTCAGCCTTTATCAGACCACATGGACTGAGCCGGGGGAAGGGGTGGCTTCCTGAAGGAGGAATTAAGTCTTTTTTTTTTTTAACATCTTTATTGGACTATAATTGCTTTACAATGATGTGTTAGCTTCTGCTGTATAACAAAGTGAATCAGCTATACGTATACATATGTCCCCATATCTCCTCCCTCCTGCGTCTCCCTCCCACCCTCCCTATCCCACCCCTCTAGGTGGTCACAAAGCACCAAGCTGATCTCCCTGTGCTATGCGGCTGCTTCCCACTAGCTATCTGTTTTACATTTGGTGGAGTATATATATCCATGCCACTCTCTCACTTCACCCCAGCTTACCCTTCCCCCTCCCCGTGGCCTCAAGTCCATTCTCTATGTCTGCGTCTTTATTCCTGTCCTGCCCCTAGTTTCTTCAGAGGCTTTATTTTTTTTTTGGTTCCATATATATGTGTTCGCATATGGTATTTGCTTTTCTCTTTTTGTCTTAACTTCACTCTGTATGACAGTCTCTAGATACATCCACCTCATTACAAATAGCTCGATTTTGTTTCTTTTTACAGCTGAGTAACATTCCATTGTATATATGTGCCACATCTTCTTTATCCATTCATCTGTCGATGGACACTTAGGCTGCTTCCATGTCCTGGTTATTGTAAATAGAGCTGCAGTAAACATTGTGGTACATGACTCTTTTTGAATTATCATTTTCTCAGGGTATATGCCCAGTAGTGGGATTGCTGGGTCGTATGGTAGTTCTATTTTTAGTTTTTTAAGGAGCCTCCATACTGTTCTCCATAGTGGCTGTATCAATTAACATTCCCACCAACAGTGCAAAAGGGTTCCCTTTTCTCCACACCCTCTCCAGCATTTATTGTTTGTAGATTTTTTGATGATGGCCATTGTGACTGGTGTGAGGTGTTACCTCATTGTAGTTTTGATTTGCATTTCTCTAATGATTAGTGATGTTGAGCATCCTTTCATGTGTTTGTTGGCAATATGTATACCTTCTTTGGAGAAATGTCTATTTAGGTCTTCTGCACATTTTTGGATTGGGTTGTTTGATATTGAGCTGCATGAGCTGCTTGTATATTTTGGAGATTAATCCTTTGTCAGTTGCTTCATTTGCAAACATTTTCTCCCATTCTGAGGGTTGTCTTTTCGTCTTGTTTAGGTTTCCTTTGCTGTGCAAAAGCTTTTAAGTTTCATTAGGTCCCATTTGTTTATTTTTATTTTTATTTCCATTTCTCTAGGAGGTGGGTCAAAAAGGATCTTGCTGTGATGTATGTCATAGACTGTTCTGCCTATGTTTTCCTCTAAGAGTTTTATAGTGTCTGGCTTTACATTTAGGTCTTTAATCCATTTTGAGTTTATTTTTGTGTATGGTGTTAGGGAGTGTTCTAATTTCATTCTTTTACATGTAGCTGTCCAGTTTTCCCAGCACCACTTATTGAAGAGGCTGTCTTTTCTCCATTGTATATTCTTGCCTCCTTTATCAAAGATAAGGTGACCATATGTGTGTGGGTTTATCTCTGGGCTTTCTATCCTGTTCCATTGATCTATATTTCTGTTTTTGTGCCAGTACCATACTGTCTTGATTACTGTAGCTTTGTAGTATAGTCTGAAGTCAGGGAGCCTGATTCCTCCAGCGCCGTTTTTCTTTCTCAGGATTGCTTTGGCTATTCGGGGTCTTTTGTGTTTCCATACAAATTGTGACATTTTTTGTGCTAGTTCTGTGAAAAATGCCATTGGTAGTTTGATAGGGATTGCACTGAATCTGTAGATTGCTTTGGGTAGTATAGTCATTTTCACAATGTTGATTCTTCCAATCCAAGAACATGGTATATCTCTCCATCTGTTTGTATCACATCTTTAATTTCTTTCACCAGTGTCTAATAGTTTTCTGCATACAGGTCTTCTGTCTCCTTAGGTAAAACATTCCTAGGTATTTTATTCTTTTTTGTTGCAATGGTAAATAGGAGTGTTTCCTTAATTTCTCTTTCAGACTTTTCATCATTAGTGTATAGGAATGCAAGAGATTTCTGTGTATTAATTTTATATCCTGCCAGTTTACCACATTCATTGATTAGCTCTAGTAGTTTTCTGGTAGCATCTTTGGGATTCTCTATGTATAGTATCATGTCATCTGCAAACAATGACAGTTTTACTTCTTCTTTTCCGATTTGGATTCCTTTTATTTCTTTTTCTTCTCTGATTGCTGTGGCTAACACTTCCAAAACTATGTTGAATACTAGTGGTGAGAGTGGGCAACCTTGTCTTGTTTCTGATCTTAGTGGAAATGGTTTCAGTTTTTCACCGTTGAGAACAATGTTGGCTGTGGGTTTGTCATATGTGACCTTTATTATGTTGAGGTAGTTTCCCTCTATGCCTACTTTCTGGAGAGTTCTTATCATAAATGGTGTTGAATTTTGTCGAAAGCTTTTTCTGCATCTATTAAGATGATCATATGGTTTTTCTCCTTCAACTTGTTAATATGGTTTATCAGATTGATTGATTTGCATATATTGAAGAATTCTTGCATTCCTGGGATAAAGCCCACTTGATCATGGTGTATGATCCTTTTAATGTGCTGTTGGATTCTGTATGCTAGTATTTTGTTGAGGATTTTTGCATCTATGTTCATCAGTGATACTGGTCTGTAGTTTTCTTTTTTTGTGACATCTTTGTCTGGTTTTGGTGTCAGGGTGATGGTGGCCTTGTAGAATGAGTTTGGGAGTGTCCCTCCCTCTGCTATATTTTGGAAGAGTTTGAGAAGGATGGGTGTTAGCTCTTCTCTAAATGTTTGATAGAATTCGCCTGTGAAGCCATCTGGTCCTGGGCTTTTGTTTGTTGGAAGATTTTTAATCACAGTTTCAATTTCAGTGCTTGTGATTGGTCTGTTCATATTTTCTATTTCTTTTTGGTTCAGTCTCCGGAGGTTGTGCTTTTCTAAGAATTTGTCCATTTCTTCCAGGTTGTCCATTTTATTGGCATAGAGTTGCTTGTAGGAATCCCTCATGATTTTTTGTATTTCTGCAGTGTCAGTTGTAACTTCTCCGTTTTCATTTCTGATTCTATTGATTTGAGTCTTCTCCCTTTTCTTCTTGATGAGTCTGGCTAATGGTTTATCTATTTTGTTTATCTTCTCAAAGAACCAGCTTTTAGTTTTATTGATCTTAGCTATTGTTTCCTTCATTTCTTTTTCATTTATTTCTGATCTGATTTTTATGATTTCTTTCCTTCTGCTAACTGGGGTTTTTTGGTTCTTCTTTCTCTGATTGCTTTAGGTGAAGGCTTAGGTTGTTTATTTGAGATGTTTCTTGTTTCTTGAGTTAGGATTGTGTTGCTATAAACTTCCCTCTTAGAACTGCTTTTGCTGCATCCCGTAGGTTTTGGGTCATTGTGTTTTCATTGTCATTTGTTTCTAGGTATTTTTAAATTTCCTTTTGATTTCTTCAGTGATCTTTTGGTTATTTAGTAGTGTATTGTTTAGCCTCCATGTGTTTGTATTTTTCACAGTTTTTTTCCTGTAATTGATATCTAGTCTCATACTGTTGTGGTCAGAAAAGATACTTGATATGTTTTCAATTTTCTTAAATTTGCGAAGGCTTGATTTGTGACCTAAGATGTGATCTATCCTGGAGAATGTTCCATGAGCACTTGAGAAGAAAGTGTATTCTGTTGTTGGGATGGAATGTCCTATAAATATCAATTAAGTCCATCTTGTTTAATGTATCATTTAAAGCTTGTGTTTCCTTATTTATTTTCATTTTGGATGATCTGTCCACTGGTGAAAGTGGGGTGTTAAAGTCCCCTACTATGATTGTGTTACTGTCGATTTACCCTTTTATGGCTGTTAGCATTTGCCTTATGTACTGAGGTGCTCCTATGTTGGGTGCATAAATGTTTACAATTGTTATAGCTTCTTCTTGGATTGACCCCTTGATCATTATGTAGTGTCCTTCCTTGTCTCTTGTGATAGTCTTTGTTTTAAAGTCTATTTTGTCTGATATGAGAATTGCTACTCCAGCTTTCTTTTGATTTCCATTTGCATGGAATATCTTTTTCCATCCCCTCATTTTTAGTCTGTATGTGTACCTAGGTCTGCAATGGGTCTCTTGTAGACAGCATATATACAGGTCTTGCTTTTGTATCCATTCAGCCAGTGTGTCTTTTGGTTGTAGCATTTAATCCATTTACATTTAAGGTAATTATCAATATGTATGTTCCTATTCCCATTTTCTTAATTGTTTTGGGTTTGTCATTGTAGGTCTTTTCCTTCTCTTGTGTTTCCTGCCTAGAGAAGTTCCTTTAGCATTTGTTGTGAAGCTGGTTTGGTGGTGCTGAATTCTCTTAGCCTTTGCTTGTCTGTGAAAGTTTTAATTTCTCCGTTGAATCTGAATGAGATTCTTTCTGGGTAGAGTAATCTTGGTTGTAGGTTTTTCTCTTTCATCACTTTAAATATGTCCTGCCGCTCCCCTGTGGCTTGCAGAGTTTCTGCTGAAAGATCAGCTTTTAACCTTATGGGAATTTCCCTTGTATGTTATTTGTTGCTTTTCCCTTGCTGCTTTTAATATTTTTTCTTTGTATTTAATTTTTTTAATTAATTTATTTTATTTTATTTATTTTTGGCTGTGTTGGGTCTTCGTTGCTGCGTGCAGGCTTCCTCTAGTTGCGGCGAGCGGGGGCTACTCTTCGTCACAGTGCACAGGCTTCTTATTGCGGTGGCTTCTCTTGTTGCAGAGCACAGGCTCTAGGTGCGTGGGCTTCAGTAGTTGCAGTAGCTGTGGCGCACGGGCTTAGTTGCCAGACCAGGGCTCGAACCCGTGTCCCCTACAGTGGCAGGTGGATTCTTATCCACTGTGCCACCAGTGAAGTCCCTGTATTTAATTTTGATAGTTTGATTTATATGTGTCTTGGCATGTTCCTCCTTGGATTTATCCTATATGGGACTGTCTGTGCTTCCTGGACTTAATTGACTATTTCCTTTCCCATATTAGGGAAGTTTTCACCTATAATCTCTTCAGATATTTTCTACATTCCTTTTTTTTTTTCTCTTCTTCTGGGACCCCTAAAATTCAAATGTTGATGTGTTTAATGTTGTCCCAGAGGTCTCTGAGACTGTCCTCAATTCTTTTCATTCTTTTTTCTTTATTCTGCTCTGCGGTAGTTATTTCCACTATTTTATCGTCCAGGTCACTTATCCATTCTTCTGCCTCAGTTATTCTGCTATTGATTCCCTCTAGAGAATTTTTAGTTCCATTTATTGTGTTGTTCATCACTGTTTGTTTGCTCTTTAGTTCTTCTAGGTCCTTCTTAAATGTTTCTTGTATTTTCTCCATTCTATTCCCAAGATTTTGGATCATCTTTACTGTAATTCCTCTGAATTCTTTTTCAGGTGGACTGCCTATTTCTTCTTCATTTGTTTGGTCTGGTGGGTTTTTACCTTGCTCCTTCATCTGCTGTGTGTGTCTCTGTCTTCTCAATTTGCTTAACTTGCTGTGTTTGGTGTCTCCTTTTTTCAGGCTGCAGGTTTGTAGTTCCCGTTGTTTTTGCTGTCTGCCCCCAGTGGCTAAGGTTGGTTCAGTGCATTGTGTAGGCTTCTGGTGGAAGGGACTGGTGCCTGTGTTCTGGTGGATGAGGCTGGATCTTGTCTTTCTGGTGGGCAGGACCACATCCAGTGGTGTGTTTTGGGGTGTCTGTGAACTTATTATGATTTTAGGCAGCCTCTCTGCTAATGGGTGGGGCTGTGTCCCTGTCTTGCTAGTTGTTTGGCATAGGGTGTCCAGCACTGTAGCTTGCTGGCCGTTGAGTGGAGCTGGGTCTTAGCTTGAGATGGAGATCTCTGAGAGAGCTTTCGTCGTTTGACATTACATGGAGCCGGGAGGTCTCTGGTGGACCAATGTCCCGAATCTGGCTCTGCCACTTCAGAGGCTCAGCCCTGACACCTGGCTGGAGCACCAAGACCCTGTCAGCCACACGGCTCAGAAGAAAAGGGAGGGAAAAAAAAGAAAGAAAAAGAAAAGAAAAGAAAGTTATTAAAATAAAAAATATATTATTAAAAATAAAAAAGTAATAAAAAAAAGAAAGAAAGAAGAGAGCAACCAAACCAAAAAACAAATCCACCAATGATAACAAGCACTAAAAACTATACTAAAAAAACAACAACAAAACGGACAGATAGAACTCTAGGACGAATGGTAAAAGCAAAGCTTTTGGGAAATCTGAGGTCTTCTGCCAGCATTCAGTAGGTGTTCTATAGGGGCTGTTTCACATGTAGATGTATTTTTGATGTTTTTGTGGGGAGGAAGGTGATCTCCACGTCTTAACTCCTCTGCCATCTTGAAGCCACGGCTGTTGTTTTTGACAGAAGAGCATTCAAAGGCTTTGCTGATAAATAGTGCTTGTAGTAGTACAACTGAAACAGCAGAAATGCAGAACCTGTCAACGTTAAAAGTGCCAAAATCACATTCTTATTGATCTTACTCATTAGTCTGCAGTGCTCACTTGCTTGTCTTTTGAAAGTAACCCAGCTGGTTTCATCTTTTTTGGTAAGAACATAATCTTGTTTTCTGTGAACAAAAAGATGTTTCTCAGCCAACAGCGGCAGCAACACGGAATTAAGTCTTATTATCAAAAGACAGAGGCATAAATATTGGACAGGTGAAAAACCACAGCTATGCAGTACAGTCATTGCCAAAGTATAACTGGGATGCTCGGATGCCCGCAAGCCAGCAGTAGGAAGAAGTTCCCTGTCTGTGCCCCGGGATCCCCTGGGAGCTCTGTAACTGCTCAGATCCCTGGGCCCCATTCCTGGAGAATCTGAATGGGCAGTTCTGGGCCCAGACCCTGGAATCTGTCTTGTTAATAGTCTCCATGGTGATTCTGATGATCAGCCTTGTTTGGGGACCCAGGCTGGGGCTAGGCACTCCCCAGAAGGATGACACTGCCTCCCGTGCCCCCCATGTGGTCAGGACTTCCACAACCCAGCCCCCCCACCTCTCCACACAAACCAGCAAACAGCACGAGGCTCCAGAGGCCCAGTGCCCGCTCTGACCCAATGCCCTACTACTTTTTGGTGCAGTTAGCAGGCTTCCTGTGTCCATTTCCTCATCTGTAAAGTAGGCATGGTCCTGGTGGCTGCACCAGCTCTCAGGGTCAGGCCCCACATGTGTGTGTGAGTGCATGTTGTGTGGGTGTGCAGGTGGGCTGGGGACCTCAGTGTCTTCATGATGATGGGGCAGGGCTGCTGTGAGAATTGATGAGATGATAGAACTAAAGCCCTGAGTTAGGAATTCCCTGGCAGTCCAGTGGTTAGGACTCTGAGCTTCCCCTGCAGAGGACCCGGGTTCCATCCGTGATCAGGGAACTAAGATCCTGCAAGGTATGGGGCGTGGCCAAAAAAAAAAAGTACTGAGAACAGAGCCCAGGACAGAGTGAGTCTTTTTTTTATATATATATATAAATTTATTTATTTATGGCTGCGTTTGGTCTTCGTTGCTGCGCGCAGACTTTCTTCTAGTTGCAGCGAGCGGGGGCTACTCTGCGTTGCGGTGCGCAGGCTTCTCATTGTCATGGCTTCTCTTGTTGCGGAGCACAGGCTCTAGGTGCACGGGCTTCAGTAGTTGTGGCACGTGGG